GTGAAATTTGGGTCGTTACAGCATCGCCGGAGGTTGGTTGCGCCGACCTTTTAAGGACACAGGTGGTGAACGAGTTCAAGAAGGGAAGGTGAAGTATCGTGACCTAATCCACAATATCTATTCTAAGGTATTGGGCTTTAATTCATTTGGGCTAATATCATATGGATTCATTTAGTGTATTTGGGCTAAGTGACATTGGGTTTAAGTTCAAGTTAAATATAATATAAGGTAAAGCCTTGTTAATTAGTAATTGGGTCCAAAATTAATTAATTTATGGGCATTCGTTTTATCTAATAGGGTGCAAATATAGATGTGAATATAGTTCGGTTGTATTGATTAAAAGATAATTAATTTAATAAGAATTAAATGTACTAATAAAGTTGTGTGGATTTAGATGCCCAAATTTATAATATTGTATGATTACCCTATGGTCATTTGGGACTTAATGAATTAAGTCCTTAATGGGTTAAGTTGGAAAACTTAACCCTAATCATCATTTTATGTGAAAACGCTAATTTCACTTGGGTTTATTGTTGGGCCTTTCTATGGGCCTTAATGATTATATGCTATTGGGCCATTATAATGTCAAATGTTGGAATGGAATAAATGGTTGTCCCTTATGTTGAGACCTTATAAAGGTTTGGGCCTAATTTGGAAAAATGGGCCATATGTTGGCTTTAGTTCATAGATTGACTTTTGGGCCTTTGGATTGGGCTTTGGGCTTGAATCAAGCTATTTTAGGGGTAAAGTAGTCTTTTACCTCAAGCCTGTAATTATGGTTATGTGTTGGAACCCAATTGTTAATTGGGTGTTGTTTTTATGTTGACAGTTCGGGAATCTGTCAGCCCGCAGCCGAGGATTATCCATGGGATTTCAGCAGTGCGAGGTGAATCTCCTCACTGTTTGTATGGGTCTAAGGCACCAATGTCGACCCATTTAGTTTATGTATGATAGGAATACTTGGGGGTTAGCCCTAGGCATCATGCATGAAAGACCAGGAGGCGGCTCTTGGCACATAGTATGTTATTATGTATGGTAGGAAGACCCGGGGGTTAGCCCTAGGAAATATATATGAAAGACCATGAGGTGGCTCCTGGCACACTGTATGCTATTATGTATGAAAGATCATGAGGTGGCTCTTAGCACACTATATGTTGGTTAGCTAAGTAGAGTAGTATGTATGCTAGTTGTCTTTGTGATGCTTGCATGGAAAACCAGGAGGTGGCTATTGGCACTTGTCTATGAGACTGAGGGGGGTGGCCCCCAGCTTGGCAAGAAAGAACATGTGGCAGCTCGTAGCATCTTTACTGGTTACGATATATGTATGGCTCATGGTTATGTATGACAGTATGCGAGTATGTGTTTATATACTAGACAGTATCCGATTGAAAGAGACCGAAAGGGTATACTAGCACCTAGATATGCTAGTCAGTATGTTGATATGTATGGTATGTGGTAGTTGGGGAACTCACTAAGCTTCGTGCTTACAGTTTTTAGTTTTGGTTTCAGGTGCTTCGTTTTCAAAGGAAATGTGCCGACTCGATCGCAGCGCATCACACTATGTTTCCGCATATGAGATCTTAAGAATTACACTCTAATATTGTTTTATGATAGCATGTTTTGATTATTGACACTTTGGTTTTGACATGAGATGTTATTATGGATGTTATATATGGTTTTATAATAACTTATTTAAACAAAAAATGAAATTTTTGGCCTTGAATTTTGGGATGTTATAAGTTAGTATCAAAGCCTTGGTTTGAGGGATTCAGGCACACTCCCGGGTGTGTCTGAACTCAAACTAAGGACTTGGTATGAAAATTTTCAAAAGTAAAACCCTTTTATAAAAAAAAGTTTGAAAAGAGAAAAGAACTTTGAAAAGAACAAGGTGTGTGATGCCTGCAATCAACCGAACTTAAGTAAGTTTTCCCTAAGATACCGATACATGTTATGATATGTTATGTTATGTTATGTTATGATTAATCATGAGAACTGCATGTTAGATTAGGGCTAAGGATCTAGGAGGATGCATTATATGCCTATTGTATGTGCTTGTAGACTTGCATGCTAGTACTGATCAGTCAGTAAAAGGATGGCTTGTTTATGTTATGTCTGATTGTACGAGCCTTTGAATTGCATGTACAGATTCCTGATTAGAGGATAGAAAGATTTGATTGGAGTATGATGGTTAGATTTTCCATTGTGTGAATGTTGCTTGCTTTGTGCTTTTTAGTACTCTTAGTAATGTGAGTTAACTATTAAGTGAATATGCTAGGTCACATGTGGCACATGCTGGATAATCTCAGAGTGATAGATTTGACCCTATTGCGCAACTCTCGTTTGAGTCTAACCATTCTAGGGATGAGTCTTTTACTCGAAGTATTATCTAATCTTTGTTACATGTGGTTATATTCATAAGGTAGCTAGTTGACATTACTGGGAATCTTTCAGCAGTTGAGGACTGGGTGGGTACGGGAACCTAAGGAAGCCTAGGATATGTTTCAGTGGGTTAGTAGTGAGGCTCAGTGAGACTTGGGTGTACGAGTTTGAGGAAGTGACTTGGAGGATTCGGGAGGATTACTGAGGAAAGTATGGATAGGTGTGGAAGGTAGTATTAGGCCCATACTACTGAAAGCACAGGATCCATACTCGAATCGGTGAGAGTCTTGGAGAATCTAAAAAGCTTCGGGGGGAAGTTTGTGACCTGGTTTGGGGACAAAGGATGTTTCAGTTGTTGCAGCTTAGCCATTTGCAAGCGAGCTAGTGAGCGTGACAAGGTGTCAGACCCTGAAGGATATGAGTTCCAAGAGGTTGCAGATGCGAGATCAATTTGGAACACTTTGAGAAGAGGGGTTTGTTTCAGGTGTGTATAATAGAGGGTCCCAGGAAAAGACCCATGACTTCTGATCATCAGGTGAAAGGCCAGCAGGGCCAGAGTCAGTGCAACACGTACGGGAAACTGCACAAGGGAGTTTGTCGCACCAAGGATTTAGGCTGTTGCAGGTGTGGCAGGGTTGATCATGACAACTGAAGGTGATCTGTATTCCTCTAAATGTTGTGGATATGTCATCTTCTACTGCTATTGGGTGGATGTTAGGAATACGTATCGCTTTGGAATTGTGAGTGAGTTTGGATAAGTTCGATCCCGGGTCGGTTTTCTGCTAATGTTTAGGTTATCAAGGATCATATATGTCATACTGCATGCCGACAGGTCCTTGATGAACCCACAATGGGATGCATCTTGCGGAGTGGGTTCTATGTGTACCGTTATTATTCCGGATCTTTGTCGGGATCTGTGCAGGAGCAGTATTTAGAGGATACTCGATCAGGAGTAGAGCGGTAGTTATTCAGTAAAGTCAGCATTCAGTGGTCCTATCATGGTTCATGTGTGCTCGACAATCGGCTATGGATGAACTTTGCAGTTCAAGGCTTTACCATTGCTAGTACAGGACTGGTAACATGAAGAGGGTAATGTCAGTTGCGGGTGTTAGATGCATAAGTGGTTGGTCATTGGATGTTCAAGAGAATTGTATTTTCGCATAAGCTGTGTTCGATTAGAGTTCAGTGGTGCTGCAAGATTGGAAGTGGGAACGAGGGTTCTTCAGCCAGAGTGAAGTTCCTATTCAACAGTGAGTGTGTGATTGATTTGTGATTCACTCACAGATTCCTTCAGATGATTAGGTCCAGGATGGGTCAGCTGCACGCACGTGAGTACGTCACAATATGATCAGATTCGGGAAGCGGTAGGTCGTTAGAGACCAAGCGTGATGTAAGACTATAGTGGTTCGGGTAGCATTCACTTTTCGTATTTCATTCAGTGGTGATGGATAGTCGGACAACTATGATCAGAAGAATCATAATGAATAATGGAGCCATGAGTGACAATATGGTTAGGGCAGATTTCGATAGCCGAAGTTCTCTTCGGAAGTCATGGGAGCGACTGTGAGGTTGCTCTTTGGCTCAGCAACCGGGTAGGAATCCGGTACTCCGAATAGCGGCAGTAAATTGGGATTTTCATAGAATAGACTAAGGACAAGAAGATGCTAAGTCACTTACAAATGGATTAGAGAATCTCAGAGTACTTGATTTGACCCTGTTGCGCAGCTCTCGTCTGAGTCTAATCGTTGCAAGGATGAATCTTCCACTCAAAGGATTATCTAAGCCTTCTTTAGAGTTAAGTATACTACAACTGGTTATGTTTAAGGGCTTTATTTTCATGATTTGTATCAAGATCATATGGGTTGGAAGTATTTTGGTTGGTCAGTTGTTCGATGAGGTTTTTTCTTGCTAGCATTGTAGTGTAGGCGGTTTGTCAGAGAGATGGTCCGTTATGAATTTCAGACTCCGGTTTGGCAAAAGTGGTTTTGGAGGAAGGTTTAGAGTTTTCTTCAGGACAAAATTTTGGTTTGGGTGATGATTATCCAAGGAAGGTTGTCTTATGCACTGAATCATCGGTGGCGTTCCTTGGACCATTAGTTCGGATATGGGAGTTAATAAGGAGCGATTTCGAGGACGAAATCTAATTTAAGTGGGGAGAGTTGTAACGCCCCGTTTCTAGCTAGCTAATACAAATTAAGGGTTATAAAATAATCCGGATAATGAATTCATTCAATGATAATTTATGGGGTGAGATAGTTGAGTTATTACATAAAACACATTTACAGGTGAAGTGGACAAATTAGATTAAGTTAAATGTGAGTTTTAAGTGAATTATTGATTAAGCTCATTGTGAAGGTTAATAATAATAATTACTATTGGAATGTGTTAATCCAAGGGCCAAACAATAATTTTCGAAAATCAAATTGGTAAGACAATCAGACTTAGGGTTTTTAATCGTCAAGTTTCACGAACCCCAGGGACCAAACCTATTAACATCAAAACCATGTTTTACTCTTCCTGATTCATCAATGGAAGTTTATCGCTTTCCCTATCGTGGGTCTATAATTGTTGATGCTAGTGAAAGGAGCTAGTCCCATTCCTTTACACGTTCCCTTGGCCATTTAAATCAGGTGTGACTCTCCAATATGACTAGAGCCCTTCTCTTGAATATGCAATTCCAAATGATAGTGAGAGAAAGAGAAATAGAGCATAGTGTGGGTTGTCGAGTGTGGGTGTGCAAGCTCTAGTGGTCTCTCAAGCTCCGGTGATGTTCGTGGTCCCTTCCAACGAGCGTGGATGGGGTCCTTCGGTAGTAGAATGGAGAGGGATGTGAAGTCTCTAAGAGTTATTCCACTGTCATCGCCCAAACTAGAAAACGATCGATGGAATGAGGAACAACAATAGTGTTTGAGTGACAGGAGCTCGATCTTCAACGATGATGAAGACATCAAGCTTATAGTAGCATGTTCTCTTGAGCCACTGGTTGAGAATAGAACCAGAATGAGGATGAGAGTGAAAAGGTGAATGTTGTTTTCTTTTTTTAGCAGCTTAATCTCCGGTACGAGTGGGTTTAGATCTCGTTGAACCAGCCTTTCATTTGCTGCTATGTCTCCATCTCCATGGCTACACTCAAGAATCGATTCAGATTGAGGGAATGCGGATTGTGGATGACCATAGACAGTGGAGGAAAGGGAGACGTGGAAGATGAGGCAAGTTTCAAGCATGAACCCGCTTCAATTCTGTTGGAGGGCAAGAGGAGTTTGGTGGCACATTGCTAGGTGCGATATGAGAGCCAATGGCTAGATGTTTGGGGTTCGATGTCGTAAGAATGGGATGAGTCACCAGAGGTTGGTTGCGCCGACCCTTTAAGGAGACAGGTGGCGAGCCAATTCAAGCAGGGAAGGTGAAGTATCGAGACCTAATCCACAATATCTTTTCTAAGGTATTGGGATTTAATTCATTTGGGCTAATATCATATGGATTCATTTAGTGTATTTGGGCTAAGTGATATTGGGTTTAAGTTCAAGATAAATATAATATAAGGTAAAGCCTTGTTAATTAGTAATTGGGTCTAAAATTAATTAATTTATGGGCATTCGTTTTATCTAATGGGGTGCAAATATAGATGTGAATATAGTTCGGTTGCATTGATTAAAAGATAATTAATTTAATAAGAATTAGATGCACTAATAAAGTTGTACGGATTTGGATGCCCAAATTTATAATATTGTATGATTAACCTAAGGCCATGTGGGACTTAGTGAATTAAGTCCTTAATGGGTTAACTAGGAAAACTTAACCCTAATTATCATTTTATGTGAAAAACCTAATTTCACTTGGGTTTATTGTTGGGCCTTTCTACTGGGCCTTAATGATTATATGATATTGGGCCATTAGATTGTCAAATTTTGGACTGGAATAAATGGTTGGGCCTTATGGTGAGACTTTATAAAGGTTTAGGCCCAGTTTGGAAAAACGGGCCATATGTTGGCTTTGGTTCATAGATTGACTTTTGGGCCTTTGGATTAGGCTTTGGGCTTGAATCAAGCTATGTTGGGGGTAAAGTAGTCTTTTACCCCAAGCCTGGAATTATGGTTATGTGTTGGAACCCAACTATTAATTGGGTGCTGTTTTGATGTTGACAGTTCAGAAATCTATCAGCCAGCAGCCGGGGATTATCCGTGGGATTTCAGCTGTGCGAGGTGCGTCTCCTCACTGTTTGTATGGGTCTAAGGCACCAATGTCGGCCCATTTAGTTTATTTATGATAGGAATACCTGAGGGTTAGCCCTAAGAATTATGCATGAAAGACCAGGAGGCGGCTCCTAGCAAACAATATGTTATTATGTATGGTAGGAAGACCCAGGGGTTAGCCCTAAGCAATATGTATGAAAGACCAGGAGGTGGCTCCTGGCACACTGTACGCTATTATGTATGAAAGACCAGGAAGTGGCTCCTAGCACACTATATGTTGGTTAGCTAAGTAGAGTAGCATGTATGCTAGTTGTCTTTGTGATGCTTGCATGGAAGACCAGGAGGTGGCTCTTGGCACCTGTCTGTGAGACCGAGGGGGTGTTGGATTAATGTCTAAGTCCATAACTATAATAAGTGAGACTTGACCCAACCCGACATGGTCCATTTGGGTTGCATGGCATCATGCATATGGATAGACTATAATGAGAGAAACAACACTTAAAGTTTGTTAATATATTATAAGCTCTAATATATTAATAAGATTATTTAATTAGTATTGATCAAGAGTTAATCTAGGATTAAGTAAGTGATCAAAAGAAGACTAATTAAATATATGGGTTGATTGTGTAAATCATTCATTCTTATATATGTGGGCTTGTGATCCAAGATTGCTTATGTTGGACTAAGTCCATGGAGTGACCCATGGATACTCCATGGGGGTTAAAATCCATGGAGCATAAGGAATGGGTAAAGTTATGAGTTACATGGTGTAACCCTAATAGCCACCATATAAAAGAATCCCATGGCTCAAGAAATTGGCCACTATGTGTGGGAAGAAGGGAATAGCCAATTTTCATGAAGTGTGAAGTTCTCTCAAGTCATTCCATGTGTATTTGGTGTTGTGTTAACCATTTGAGGTGTCACACTTGGGGCACTAGGCATTCAAGCTTCATGAAGACAATCTACATCAAAGAGGTATGTAATTCTAACTTAATATATTCATTTGAATAAATGATATTATGCTTGTTAGAATGAATACCTTGGAAAGTTCATATTTGCATGTATAATAGAGAAAATATAGATCCAAGGTATTTAGGGTTGCATGTACACTTAGGAGTGTTAGAATGCTCAAAACCTAACAGTGGTATCACATCCTAGGCTTGCTTTCTCTTATACTTGATGCAAATACATTTTTCGAAGACAAGAAGATGTCCAAACATAAAACTCGACAAGTTTATTCAATAAACTCGACGAGTTCATTGTTTAATGCATGAACTCAACGAGTTCTCTATAGAGCTCGACGAGTTTTGGCCCATGACAGCTTGTCTTTGTGTTTTTTGGCTGGAATTGGACTAGGAACATTACCCTAAGCTGTTTTTGAACTTATAAACTTGTTTTTGATGTGGTAATGTTCATGCTAATCCAATTTCAAAGATAATTGTCAATAAATTCATGTTTTGTATTAGTTTAAAAGTTATGCTAATTACATGAAAAAGATTGATGTGAATTATCTTTGTTCATATGAGTTGCTTAGATTAATAGATAAGTTAATTGATTATGTGTATTCAATCCATTTTAATCTAAGAGTTGATTCTAAAATGTGTTTTTGTAACTTGTCCTCAAGTTATATGAAAAGTCACATTTAAGTCTCATAAAACTCATAAAAGTTCGCAATGGTTACAAAAATGAAGAGTCTTGTCCTCAAGTTATGGAGGTTCAAGAGTCACTTCATTAAGTAATAAAATGTGTAACCTTAATTAATTCCATAAGTTACAAAATAAAGAAAAACTACATTCTTTTATTAGTTTAAAGTCTTCCATAACTTGTCCTCAAGTTATGGAACTTGAAGATTCTTTTAATTAAAACTACTTTAAACTCATAAGTTATGGAATTAATTAGTTTTGAATAGTTTCAAAACTTGCCCTCAAGCTTTGGAATTTGAAAAGTTTTCACTTATGAATACTTTAATTCCAAGTCAGCCCTTAGAATTTTCAAAGTTAAAATTCAACCCTTATACTCATTCAAGAAGCCGGTCTTTAAGGGGGGTATAAGGTTACTGCCTATAAAATGGCAGTTTAATGGGTGTCCACTCTCACCTACCGCTTCCTTGACCGGTGGAGGGTCGTTAGCCGAACGGGTAGGACAAGGACTATAATTCTCCCTTCATTAAAAGTATTAATGATAAATAATAAGTAACTAAACCTTTTATAAATACCAAATCTTAGTTACTTAGGAAAATGTGAATTTGGTGCTAACCCATGAAATTACACTTTGCACTTTGCTTAAGTCGTTAGTGGAGCGTGTGTGGTTAAGCGGCACATTAACTTGGATTTAACAAGGTAGGCAAATGGTAACTTAATGTTTATCATAGTATCGATGGAGTGTGTGTGGTTAACCGACACATCAATTAAGGGGTAAACACTTAAGGGTACCAAGTATATTTGCATGGTTATTCACACCTTGTTTTGTGATCCTCGGCATCCCAGTCACAAAACCTGAAGGGCACACTCGAGATAGAAACATTCTATTGAACAGTTCAATGAATCTCAAAAGATCTAGGCGTTTCAAATCCAAGTAAAACCTAATTAAATTATTTCGTTTTCATGGTGGAAATTGGTGAATCGTCATTCGCCTACCTTCAAATATTCTATAGCTTGGATTACGACATCCCTCTTCCAAGTTATAAAATAGTTTGTAGGGTCCTAGCCTTAATATTTCATATTGGGTGTTATATTAAGGACTTTAAATCAAATATCTTGAATATCTCCTAAAAGATGATCTTCCCAAATCTCTTGAAACAAGGTTTCCTAAATGAAGATGATGTCCCATGGAAATCATACTTCTTTCCCCTCCTCCAGTTATTCTCCCTAACCCACAAGTTTTTGAAAAGTTTAAGGTCACTCAAGCCCTATTGGAAAGTAAAGGTCTATGTGTGGTCACATCTTGGAGATGTAGTCACATATTGACAAGCCGGGAGAGTTGGGTGTCAAAGTCTTGAGAAAGTTGGTGGTTCAATCACTTTCTAAGTCACATAGTGAGTTCCTTTGGGATTCCTATGAAATAGACTATGATAAGACCCTTAATGATCTTATCTATTTGCTAAGATCAACTTCCAAAACTTTATGGATATTGACATTGATGACATTGAATATCCAGTAAAGCTCTCTCTTCCCAATGGAAAAGGATCGGCCATAGTCAACTTGGTTGACCAAATGGTAAAGAGAAAGGCTAAGTTTGTGATAATCCCATGTTCCATTTCCAAAGTGTCCATATGTTAAATTTCCAAAGGAATGGGCGTTGGTTGCGAAGCTGCCAATTTACCTAAGGGTGTTAAAGTCAATAAGCTTGACTCTACTTCAGGTAAAGTCCACTATCTAACTCTACTAAGTTTCTATTCTGAGATTATTGATACATGATGTGACTGGGTCACATGGTGATGTTTTAAGAATTGAAGAAAAGTGAAGGAACTTAAAGAAAGAATATGTTGAATCTGATCACGTAGATGGATTTCTATCGCATAGTTTGAAGATCGGATTCTTGAGCTACTTCTTAGGAGTTATGAGATATTGCTTAGGAATAGATAACAACAAGTTTTCATATGGATTGTAAGGATAAGTTTTTCCTCAAAATTTTAAAATATAAGGAAATTTTTTATTTTATTTATTTTATTTATCCTTACAATGGCGTTTGTGGAAAATTATTGCTTATAAGATTCCATTGATAGCAATATTGGAAAGTGAATTTAATTCTTTCAATTGTGGTAATGTCTAAATTTACCAAATAAGGAAAGATCCTCATCACCCTAGTTTCAATTGGATAGGAATTTGGAATCATGCAAGTTGTATAGCATGATGAATGAGAATTTTTCATCTTTGAAAAATTAAGACTAGTTCCTTGTTCACATGTATATGTGAGTCAAGTGAAGGACTAAGGGATCGAGTACACATTCTTGTGCACTGGTCAAGTCCACCACAAAAGATCGATAAGATTATTCGTTATAATTTACTAAAGCTCGATAAAAATGGTTATAC